ACAATATAGGGGTTCCGTTTGTAAGGGAAAATGAGAGTAGATTCGGGGTAGGAAATAGCAGCCTTGCCCATTTCTACTTATTACTTTTTTTTTAATGCTCACCCAAGTATATTTTTTCCATTGATTTCTAGAGAGTGAAAGGGAAGGGGGGAGAGAGAGAGAGAAGTATTGATTTGAGAGAGACACATCAATTGGTTGCCTCCTGCATGCACTCCTGTTGAACCTGCAACCCAAGTACATGCTCTCCTTAGGGAATCGCACCCGTGACCCTGCGGTGCTCGGGCTGGTGCTCTAACCATTGGATCACCGACCAAGGCTCTACTTTCTATTTTTTAAAAATCTTTTGTTATGAAAATCAAACAGTAGAAAGAGGGTAATGAACCGTCCATGCCTAACCCATCACCCGGTTTCAGCGATTTAATTATTGCAAATCTTGCTTCATCTATACTTTCTTTTCTCCCATTCCTTGCCTACTGGAATATTTTGAAGCAAATCTCTAGCACTGTACCTTTTTATCCAAAAATGTTTCCATAATTATCTCGTAAAATAGACACTTTAAAATTACCATATTAGTATTTTTACAGGTAAATATTTTAGCAGTTATCCCTGAATAACAAATATCCAGTCAATGTTCAATTTCCCATGATTTTATTAAAAGTGTTTCTTTTTAAAACTGTTGGGTTTTTTGAATTTGAATCCAAACAAGATTTAAACTTTGTTATTTGGTTGATTCATTTTTTAAATCTCTTACTCTCCTCACACGTACTTATTTAAAACTAAATTCCTTTCACGGGAACAAAGCCTTTTATTGTGGGACTTAATAAACAGGAAGAAGAAAGTATCAAGGCACTAAGTACAATGTCATCCTAATAAACTCAATAAAAAAAATATGTGAGGCAAAAACTGATACAAATGAAAGAGAAATAGACAAGTCCAATAGAACAGTTTGAGACTATAACCAAACCAAAGATGTACCTAGAACACTGTATATTAGTTGTCTTCTTCAAACTTGATAAAACAGATATTTACTTTATGGACATGCTGGTTGGAAGGCTCCCTTGCCGCCTGGGCACTAGATGGCAGGGCAGTGCCGTTCTTGAGAGCACCAGCAAAACACACTGCAAACTCAGGGATATGTGGCCAAGGTAGGAAGGAAGTCCACCTGCTCTAAAGGTTGTCAAGCAAAATTTCACTATCTTCTTTGTTAGCACTTGCTTTTTATTATTACTAAAGGAGAACATACTTTTAATTGAAACTTTGAACAACACAGAAAAGTCACAAAGAATGAAATGGAAACTCTCATTATTCCACCTGTCTATAAATAAACAAAGGGTCCAGGTCCTGCTTCTTAGAATAAAAATGGCTCAGTGCGGACCATCCCCAACATTCTCTGTAAAAAGCCCCTGCTCGGGGTTTCCTCCCCTTACGGAGTGTCACCCAAAGCTAACCTCAACCCCCACTGAATCCAACCGTAACCCACAACCCTCCCCCTTTCAACATGTATAATGGCTATTTTTGGCAATTTGTTGCATAATGGTTGAAATGATAAGTTGACCATTCACAGCGCCCACCATGAATACCAAATCTGTGACAAATGAAGAAGCAGGTACTACCAATGTACGGTAGGCAAAACTGATAAGCTCTGTCATTTTAAAATATAGGTAAAACACTGACACCTGAAGAGACATCACAGAGAAATTGGACTGTGATTAAAGAAACAAAACGTGTCACCTTTGGTGGTCAGACATAGAATGCTTACTTATTTGGGGTTAAATTGTCAATGTGTATATTTTTAAATTAAAATACAGTAAAATTGACTTTTTACAGGTTTAACAAATGTATTGATTGTGTAAATGCCATCATCAGTTAGGACCCAGAAGAGTTCCAGCATCTCAAGACAACTCCTTTGTCCCTTTACCATCACACCTTAAAGGCTAGTGATGTTGAGTATCTTTTCATGAACTGACTGAAAAGTCTGTTCAAATCTATTCAAATCGATTGCCTATTTTTAAGATTGGGTTGTTTTGGTTTCTTACTGTTGAGTTTTGAGAGTTCTATATGTAGTGTAGTAGATGGATGTCCTTTGTTGGACCTGTGCTTTTCAGATACAGGGTGGGTAGAAATAGGTTTATAGTTGTTCATATGGAACACGACATGCAGGTTGTGATTATAACAATAGCTTTATTAACTCGAAAGAATGTCACAATGCAACTGTAAACCTACTTTTGCCCACCCCTGGGTATTCTCCCAGCCTTTATCTTATCTTTTCATTCTCTGAGCAGTGTCAGTCATAGACCAAAAGTTTTTAATTTTAATAAAATCTAGTTTATCAATTTTTTCTGTAATGTATCATACTTCTGATGTGATGTCTAAAACTCTGCTTGCCACCAAGTCAGGACGATTTTCTTTTATGTTTCTCCTGTTTCCTTATAAAAGTTTTATAATTTCATCTTTTACATTTAGATGTATGGCCCATTTTCAGAAACTTCTTGTGTATGTTGTGAGGTTTGGGTTGAGGTTCATTTTTGTTTTTTTGCATGTGGATGTCCAACTGTCCCAACATTATTTGTTCAAAAATACTGTCTTTTCTGCTTTGAATTGCCTTTGTTATCTTTGCAAAAAATCAATTGGTCATATGTGAATGAGTCTATTTCTGGACTTTCTATTCTTTTACATTAATAGATATGTCTATCCCTCTACAAATGCTATACTGTCTTGCTTACTGTAGTTTTATGCTCTAGCATAAACCTTATTCTTCAAATATGTTTCTTTATTTTTTAATTGATTTCAGAGAGAGGAAAGGAGAGGGAGAAAGAGATAGAAACATCAATGATGAGAGAGAATCATTCATCAGCTGCCTCCTGCAAGCCCCCTACTTAGGATCGAGCCCACAACCTGGGCATGTGCCCTGACCTGGAATTGAACCATGACCTCCTGGTTCATGGGTCGATGCTCAACCATTGAGCAACACTGGCTTGGCAAGCCTTATTCTTTAAGCTATAGATTGTACACCTGAATCTTAGAAACTTTTAATATTAGATACTAGTAATAGAATCTTTCAATCACCTTGAAAACACAAAATGGTTATCTAATCCCTGCTCCTCTGGAGGCCTGTAGCCTATAAAATTTATATAATTCTCATGTGGCTTAGTCACTTCCAGTTCTAACTCCCATGGGACCCAGTCCTCTGGGACATGCCTTCTGCCTCCTCCCATCCCAGCCTCGCCCTACCTCATTCAACCCACATTTGGGCATGTGTAAGAGCTCCTGAGCCCTGAATCTCACACCAACTTCTGGTGCTGACTTGCAGACTATGACAATGTAAGTTAATAGCTTTAGTACTCAACATGATAGAAAGATTCTTAGATTTTAAAACAAACAGACAAACCACAGTTCAACTATACACAGTTTCAGACACACCCAAACGAAATGGTCCCAAATATATAAAAAGATAAAGAACAGGCTACATATGGACCACATTATCTTCTCAGTCTCAACTCCCACTTAAATCTAATCCCTTCAAGCCCAGAAATTGTCTTGGACTTTGATTTCAAAGATGATATAGATATATTTATTTATTTTTTAGATGAAAGTCATTTTATTTATTTTTTGTTTTCTAAAGTTCTACATATGTCTCCTTTTTCCCCAAATGACCCCCCTCCCAGCCATTCCTACCCTGGGCAAGCCCCCACCGCCCCAATGTCTGTGTCCATTGGTTATGCTAACATGCATGCATACAAGTCCTTTGGTTGCTCTCTAACTCCCCTTCCCCTACCATTTGC